ATTTGGGATTGGTGCACGCCTTTGAGTCTTCCGTCTCTCGCCGAAACGCTACACTGCGAGATGAACTACACTATTCAGCACAAGGCCCTCAGTCTTTTTGTCCTCGCTCAATCATTAGAACCCTTATAACGCCTTTGATGCGTAAATATTTTAGACAGCCACGATAGGAAGCGGCTTTTTCAGGGCATGCATAGCATCCTAAAACTTCAGTTTTTAGATCTATTACTCAAAGTGAGACGATACTTAAGTGTTCAGATAAATCCGTCGATGCAACAAGGGAAATATTATACATTCGTCTGACCGCATCAGCTACTACATCCTTAATGTATCATGAACTGATTTATGCATTTTAAATTAAAATAAAATGAAAGTCAGTAAGGCTAACAAAAATTCTGTATGATAAGTGATGGCAGAATTAAGCACTTTAAATTTTAAAAACAGGGTAACGGAATTTTATAGCATTATAACAATTATGATTCAGCATCTTATTGCATTTGTTGAGGAAATTATTTTATGGGAGAACTCTTTAAAATAAAATTATTTTGGTGCTTTTAAGATTTTCCCATTAAAATCAGGATATAAGGGAAACTAATTAAATATTTCACCAGTGAACTTCAAAAAATAACAAATTAAAAGCGTAAGAAGAAGCGCGTGCGACATATGCACAGGGCCTTCCATTCCTTCTCATGAACTTCTCCGTATGAAGAAAAATGAGACCCTTTGAGATAACTCTGGCTTTCAGAATCAGCTTAACAAATGTTATTATCTTTTAGTTTGTTTTGTCAGTTAAATATTAATTATAAATTAATATACACGGCCACTATCAAACATCTATGTTTTCTTGACGATCTATCATCACTAGCAAACACGAAGGAGACCGTGAAACGCAATTTAGCAATTACATCGCATATTGACGACCAATTCACACTTTGTAATTTCGCTTTTTGCGGTCGATTTCGCATTTTATCGCAGATTGAAAAACTCAGAAATGTACTGCACCGACTGTCAAACATTCAATTATTAATTTCTTTAGAGTTTGCGTTTCAACATTGCAAAACGTTTCAATATTTCGCATTTCCAGCTATCGCTAAAATCTGCCATGTCTTTGTATGACACGTGGTAGAAGTAATATTTATTTTGATGTTTTGTACCAGCAAACGTATATAATTAGTGCATAGTAAATAATTTTTTTTGAAATAGGAGTTCTTACGAATCGTTGTTTGCTACAACCTACAGCTTTCGATTGTTTTACACATTGTTATGACTGGTGACTGTTATAATCCTCAACTCTCGCGGTCACTACTAAAAGTGAAATCTGAATTACAAGATGAAGTTCACTGATTTACGCGAATAATGGAGATATGAACTTTTGGTAATAACTGTTTAATTTCAACATTAATAACTTGTCCATATTGTCTTTTTCATTGCTTTTATTAATTGGGTTAACAATTTTCAATGGGTTAGCCATTATTAAATCTGCAAATCTTGAAATCAAAATTCGCTGTTGTAACCTCAGATTCATAACTATTATGCATAAAAAAGGTTGTTATTAGTGACAAGGGGGAATTGATTGGATGTCATTCTAAATATTCAAATACATTAGTTAATTTTTAGATTAAAGAAATGCAATGAAAGTAATAAAATTGTCTTATAAAATATCACTCCGTAGACAATATCACTGCAATTAGTGCCATATTATTGCACATTCTGACTAAGGACTTCGCTTACCTAGCGAAAACCTTGAAATTGTTTACATGTAACTATTAGGTTTTTCAACTATTGAAGTAAAACTATCTTAAACTTTCTTATACTTTCCTCAATCTTGAACAGTAGCGTATTGAATGAAATATTTCACAACCTTTGGGATATTATAGTTCTCTTAAATTTTGTAACCCATTTCTGGAATTATTCAAAAATAACTCTTTACATAATGCTAACAACTCATCCTTCTAACTGGAAAAAACCCCGAAAGATTCCTAAGATTAATGTGAAGAATATTAAAGGATGTTTGTGAATATGATTGATAACTACCCTTTTTNTGCTCATATTTCTCTTAATTTGAATAATTTGTTCCTCTAGCAGTTCGAATTCTCCACACTCCCCTTCCCTCCGCATGTCCGGGTCTTTTAATCACTCCCACATCATCACTCCTTCTATCTGTAGTGGGGATAGTGTTTAGGTGGCAAGAGTGGAATCAACGACATCTAGACTTCAAGTTGGCATTGGTGGAATCGAGGTCTTGCTTTCGTTCAGTCTCTCCAGCCGTATTGTGAGCAGATTCTCCTGTTCTCGTCACCTTAAAGTAAGGACTAAAATACAACTTATGACAAATGTTACTGTCGCATCGACATACGTACTCGAAAGCGATATAGGGACTATTTTCATTTCTTTTGGTGTTTGAAAATGTCAATATTACCAGAATTACCCGATAACAATCGTAATAATGTGTGTTATTGATTTATGTTTGCAGTAAAAGATATTTCAGCAACATTTAAACCGTTTATCTATATTGTGATCATTTGACATTATTTGGAGTGATTTATGCTATTATTTTCATAATTTTACATTTATTTCTTTTATTTTAGTTATTTCACGCCTTGTCCTTATTCTTACATTAATTTTCTCTGTTACTATTTTGTCTGTTGATCAGCTTTTTTACATTTTAGTATTTTAGTTTAAGATTCACTCAATTTATTTTTTATTTTATATAATTAATTTATTACTTGCTGTGTTTCATTACTGAGTTATTTTAAAGTTAGAAAAGTCTCAACCTAAAACATGTTGACTTGGTTTTTGGTAAAAATCACATTAATTCCAAATTAGCTTCAGTGGAAATAAACATTGCTGGTTGTAGACAGATTAATTGATGAAGGGCTCATGCGACCCACATCTTTGTAACATCATAGGTGGCAAAATTATATATTATTATTAAAATTAATATTAAGGTAAGTTAAGCCCTTTTGTGTTATCAGTTCTATATTTTTAAACTGTTTATAAGATAACTTTCTATAGTTAGAGATTCATTGTTGATAATTTTGCCGCATTTGTGAGAATACGCGCGAATAAAATATTTACAGTGATGTAGTACAGTGATAAAGTACGATGGCTTTGTAAAGCGTAAAGACCAGCGGTTTGTTCTACTAGGCTCGCCTTCTTGTAGCCTGCGAACACGCACCTCGCCCCGCGACGTCTCAGTAACGTTGGTAGTACTGCGCCCTGTAGTTCACACAGGAAGGTGAAAGGATAGTGCGCGCCACTGTTTGTATGAGGGTTGAAGGGCCCTGCCTACGAGTTCTGCTGACTATGACGTGCGTACAGGAAGAAGGTGAAGTCATTCTTGGGAGTTGTTGCCGAGTTTGCACTAACAGCGTGTGGTCCCATAAGCAGTTCGCCAATGCCGTCCAAATTCCGACCCAGCTGTGATAGCATCAAAACTTCTCGTATACATCCTGGGTCAGGAACAATAGCAGCTGAGAACCATCGCCAAAACACAGAGGATGAGTTAATGTTAATTTTTTGCTAAATACTCCCGCATGATGTTATTAATTTATCTATTCAATAGTGTTGTATAGTTTCTAATTAATTATTTTCACCGGTGTTCTATAATTGCTCAGCTCAGTGATTATCAACAGAGTCAAAACGTAGCTGTAAAATTTCGTGGATGCCCTGCAAAATAATTACTTTGAAATAATTTAGTAAATAAAAAAATAGTTAACAGTAGAATATTTTAGTAATGTAATTTATGAACATTGAGAATAAGACGGAATTTTGAAAATTGTCTTATTAATGTTCTGTCAATAATCAAAATAATTTGTTATTTATGAGATGTGAGCTTGTTTTCTAGTCTTTGAAGATGCCGTAAGATTCCACCATGACGTAGTAGTCAGCCATGAGCCAATAAGGTTAAGCTCTGTCTCATTTATAGCTCATGTTAATCTTTTGGTTACAAAAGGCGTTGTCCCTGACGTGTCAACAGGGGCTAATCCAGAAATTAGTATGAAAGGGAGAGGATTTTAGTTTGGTCCTTCAGTTTTCTCCTTCTCCTGTTGCATAAATATTTTTGAAGCAAAAAATTGTCAGCTTGAAATAAGAAAAAGTTTGAATGCGAGATATTTGTTTTTGGATGTTCCACGTTCGGCTAGATTTTTTTTAAAATCTTCCGAGAACAATTACAAAATATATGATGTGCATACAAATGTCTAAGTACTGTCAGTTCCATTAATTAAAATTTCTGTATGATATGCGGTATAGGTTTTGAATACCCATGTTGCGCACGAATGTTATTGATGAAATAAAGCTAATTTATTACGTTGATGGCACGCGGCTTAGTCGTAGGATACCACAGGGCCACTCGGACTGGTGTACAATCCAGTCAGTCACATTCTGATCCAATGCTTTGAGCGATGGTTGTTCTCTGGTGATCGATTCGATTTTAAATCGCAAACTGGTCATCATGTGGATATAAAGGTCCTTGTCATGGTATGAAGCAATTACGTTTCTCGATTAAAACGGAAAGTTTGAAGCTTTTTCCTGTTTGTTTGTTTTTTCAGAAAATTTTGACATCGTATTTTCAAAGCATCAATATTGTATTAACACCTTAGATTTGCGTCTCAAAAAAATATAATACACATGGAATTGGAATATTAGTGATTAAAGTATTAGAGCAGTAATGTCTATTTTATTGTAAATATTTTTTAAATATATGTTGACAGCTTTATTAGATTGCATGTTCGTCCAAAAATGTTGGGACAATATAATCATAGAAGAATTATATTGTTTATTTTCGCAATTATAGTAGAATTACATCAACATTAATTTTATTTTTATACATTTCTATTTCTTTCAGCAAATTATTCCTATTAATTGGAACACATTTTCGGTTTCGTAATGCAGAGAGAAAAAACAAATATATGAGCGTATTTGTTGAGACCAGAGTGGGCATCGAACATTTGACCGCGCGAGATCGAAAGGTGCAGCAGTTGGGGAGGTCAGTTAGTATGTCGTCATTCGCCGCCACGACCTCTGACACTTCCTGGGACGGCGTCATGGCGTCACCATCGCGTTGACGCAACCGTTGTCGATTTATTCCCGCTTTTTATTCCGGCGTTCTTAATAACAGGCCCAGCACCAGCCGGAGCCAACTGCGGTATTGCCAGAACACAATGCAAGCGTGTTCAACTAAATAAAAGAAGCTTTGGGATAAAGCGCTCTTTTAGTTGTTTTGTTTTCGAGTGGAGGTATTTTATTGTAAAAGAAATTAAAAACACTTGTGGTACAGCTACATTGCATTTCAGTTGGCGTAAATCTCGTTGAAAACATGCTTGGAAATGTGAAATATAAGTCAGTCAATGAGGTGCTTTTATTTCAGTCGTTTAAGTTAATTGCATTTGATTAAGGAAGAAAGTGTGTCGACAAAAATTACTTTGAAAGAAATCTTTTACTACTTTTCACAATTATGACAACATTATTAAACAGGCTTTCGTAAATAAAATTCATGTTCTTTTGCTGTATGTTATTCAACTGAGTGGCACGTTTTGTGTGACAGATTTGAAAACGAACATTTACAAAACATCCTTTGCAAAATTTACTTTTTTTATTGAAGCGTTTTATTTCATGGAATATGATTTGACAATGTAAAAGAAAATAATTTTCATTTTACTTTCATGTGGAATTAAAATAATTTTATTCAAATATTTTTATCGTACGCGAGAGCACAAAATGTGAATTTAATTTTACACGAAAATGCGTAATTTTTTTCTAAATTTATGGTTTCAGACCTATATTTGGATCACAGTTTCTTGAAGTGTATGTAACGAACGCTATTCAGTATAACCACTGCAATTAAACGTGAAGCGCATTAAGAAAACTCCTTGACTCTTAAATGAAGCCTCTCTGAAATATAAAGATACAGTAGGTGACTCGCCAATCTGATCAACCTACTAACCTTCACTGACTTTATTTATCAGTGTCAAACCAGAAAGTTGACGTATGAGTATAAGTATTTGAAATAATATAATTTTTCATTTTTGAATTTAATATAATTTAGTATTTGCCTGTTAAACTGTGCTTTACCATTTTACTTGCCGAAAGGAAAGAAAACATTAAAAATAAAACAAAAGCGTCCACTTTTGTTAAATGGAAAATCGTAATCGTGTGATTTCATAGATAATTTACGTAAACAAACACTATCTAAAAAGTTTTTTTTCTTTCGAAAGATTTACTCACGTGAGAAGTAAGTATATAAATAATTCTACCCTAGTCTAGTTCTCGTTTCATTGGCTATATCAGTGAACATCCTATTTATCGATCTTTGCCTATTAAGAGACAATAATTGTAAAGTTTCGCCTATAATTAATAACAAAATATCAGGGATATTTCTAAACTTTCCTGTGCAAGACGAATATACAGTTTGTCAGTGAAATGAATGGGTACTCTAGTTTCGGTTGTTTGCTGCGAATATAATAACTTGATGGATATACAATATTACTTTCCTACACAATCTGAAAGAAACAAAATTTTACTACGGACTTAAAATAAGATATATTGGACTCTCATAGCTCAAGGAACCCAGAAGACCTTACGATGGACTTCTTTAAAATGGCAATTTATGAAAAAGAAATGTTAGAAGAACCTTTTAAAAAGTTCCCCCGTTTCTCCCTCAAAATACGCCAGTGTCTGAAAATAAAAAGGAACACGCTTTTATGGAACAAGCCATGCCGTACGCATTCAATGCAGGCTGCCCTCGCGGGTCGCAAATACCTCTGCTCCAACCTTGGCTCCCGCAGCGCAGCCACGGTCGCCCCAAAAGAAGAGAATTTAGAGGGCAGCAGAGCTACGAGGTTCGCAACGACGGTTGGTCTAACGCGCTTTCCACATCGCTGCACTTCCTCGTTAATGTGAAACATGCCCCGCCGGGCGAGCGTCTCCCAACTCATGCGAGCTGGGGGGGGGGGAGACGAGGGTTGAGGGGACGGGAATGTTGAGGGACAATGGGTATTAAGGAACGGTGGAAATGGAGTGGACGGTGTTGCGTACTCGGTGGGTGGTTGATTGAGCGGTGGTGATGAGTGTGGGGTGACTGTTGTGGATCGGTGACTTGTGGGATCGGTGACTGGTGGGGTCGTTGACTGTTGTGGGTCGGTTGACTGTTGTGGGTCGTGGACTGTGTGGGGTCGGTGACTGTTGTGGGTCGTGATGTTGTTGGGTCGTGACTGTTTGGGGTCGGTGACTGTTGTGGGCGGTCGGTGACTGTTGTGGATGGGAGGAGTTGAAAGGACGTTAGTAGTTAGTGGAAGCGAATGTCGAAAGGGCGGAGTGGATGATGTCCGAGAGAAAAGGAAGGAACGGTAGAGTTTGAGGGGATGGTGCGAACAGGAAGCCAACTACGATGGTGGAGCGAAGATGCCAGGGGGAGAAAGGGTGTAAGGACGGATATCGGTATCATCGTACACTGGGGGGGCGGCCGGTGGGAAAGCGCTGCAGCATAGAGGTGTGAACTTACACTTATCATTATACTACCACACATGCCGGGTGAGCAGTCGGGAACTTTGAGCGTGTCCCGGCTGGGGCGGTGCCTCGCTAGTAGGAGATACTTGGTTGGGGAAATTCCCGCAAGCTGACATGTAAGACGGCGCCGATCTCACAATACAGCTGAGGAAGTTTACCGCCGCCCCCCTCGATAAACAAATGCCCTACACTTACGGGAATAATAACAGTTGACGCGCAGGGAATCACTGATCAATCAATCATACCGACGTGACACGGTATACATCGCGAACGGCGAGGGCAGCGGGGCCGTATGGTGGGCGAGGTAGCGGGTACGCGTGGGAGGCGGGGTGGCGTGATGGCGGGCGCGGGTGGCGGGCGTATGGGTGGCGGCCGTTTACGTTTGAACGCGAGACGGCGTAGCGCGGGCGGGCCCGGCGTAGGATGGCGGGCGGGCGGTGACGAGGCAGCGTGATGGCGGGAGGGGGCGGCGTGAATGACGAACGCGAGTGAGGCGGCGGGAGAGGAAGGCCACTAGATGTAGGGGAACCGAATGACGATGTCGGTGGGATGACGGGGGCGGTGTGTGGTGAGACAACAACTGTGAACTGCAAACAGCCAAGGCATTCGCTTTTCGGGGTACGTCATGCGAAACCATTGAACTCAATGATTTCTGTTCGGATTGTTCACATTAAAGCACGAACTACTATCGCTAATTTCAGTGAATGATAATTGACAAATGATGGATACAATAGCGGGGTAGTTTTGTGAACTGATGGGCGGGTTTTGTGAAGTTGTGTATGTTTATTAACGAAGTAAGATCATTCATGACGATGAGGTTTATTGCACTAACTGTCATAATTTTGCATTTTACAATCATAAAGGTGCTTTTGTAAATCCATAAATTGTCTTTTGAATTAGTGATAACTTCTTTCAGAAAAAAGAAAACCATTTTTTAAAAACAGTGTTACTATCAATAATTTGATCATTATAATTAAAAATAAAAGTTGTGTCAATAATAGTATTTAATTACTTTAACTATTATTTACTTACCAAAAAATTAACTATAATATTTTGAATTTCTGGTGGGGAACAATATTGCTGGTCTCTTTTTTTATCGACTCTCTCGACTCATTCTTTTCTTTTTCGTACAAGATGCCTATCTCGCTCCATGGGGCAGGAGATTGCGTCGAATGTTGCTAGGCGAATGTCAAAGGGCATGAATAATCAGAAGTTATTTTTTATTCGCTTTTCAAAAAAGGTGTGATGAGGAAGGCTAATAATAACTGGAGAGTCGCTGGGAATTGAAGAAATGAGTCCTCTAATTTCATCTATTTAAAAATGTAGGAATATACATTTTTAAATATGTAGTAAAAATGTAGAATATACATATACCTCATACTTGAGAGGAATTTTATTCGTAAAAAAGGCTTGGAGAAAGAAAATTGAAATGTTTGAGGAAAGGCGCTGGAGATAAGCCTTGTAAATGAATTATATTTGAAAGAAATGGCAAGATTAATGCAAATTAGTTTTACTAGTAAAGAAAGTTTAATTAAGCAGATATGTTTTAAAAATTAAAGGAGAGCGTAAGATTTAAAATAATCATATAAAAAGGTAGTGCGACATCTGAAAGGAAAGCGAGAGATTATAGGAGTGAAGGAATTTAAAATCGGAAATGAAATGGAAATCAGAAGGAATTAATTACAAAATAAAAAAGGAAACAAAAAATAAAGATAATAAGTTGAGTTCGTCCAAACACTGATAGCTATCCTCTAACGCACAAGTGCCTAATCTTGTCTCAACCTACATCGTTAACACGGCTTAAGACTTATATGATTTTTTTGTTTCTTCGCACTGAGCAATTCCTTTCAGAGTTGCAAATGGATTATATAACTTATTCTTTCAGATATGTCTATAAAAGTAAAATCAGAGACCATGGGTGGCTAAAATGGAATTGTTAAGTGATGTAAAATTGAATGCGGCAATTTCACAGAACACCGTGATTACTGTAGTTGATTACTGCTAAACAGTATAGAGATTACGTTTGATTGATTTGATAGATAAAAAAAAACATTAGTGTTAGATTTGGAAAAAAACATATTTTTTTTTATATTTAAGGCCGCATTAACATCTCGGTCATTAGCGATAGTTATTGCATTTAATGGTATGGTAACTGTGAAGATGACATGATACGATGATAATATCGAGAAAAAGGACAAACACAAATACTCGTACACTCATGTGCGAAGCGGAACTCGAACCCGCAATCCTTACTACTGGCCTACGGCACTACTGGCTTAACGATCACAGCCATCCAGGCCGGCGTATTATTAATGTTCATGCACAAATTGACTGTTTGGGGGAAACCCGTTTCAAAACTTACGCAGAGTTTATCAAGTAACTCCTCTGCTCATTATGCCCATTTATTAGAATACGAGTATTTCCTGACGATCAGTACCAGCTGGTGTGGAATACCACACAAAATATTTCGTGTAAGCACATATAGTCCAGAATATCTAAAACTCAAGAAAACATTGCCACATTATCGCTTTGAATAAACGTTCGTAATCTTCATGAACACGTAAATTTTTATTTAAGAATAAACTCTTCTCTTTTAGTAGCAACAACCTGCGCACACCGTGTTCTCGATACCAGTCCGCGGATTATCATAAGCTTTTCGCTGACTGTAAAAAAGGAGCGACGGATCAAACACGAAAGAACTGTACGGGAGGTATTTATGTTATATCGACGTATCGTTGCTTGAGGCCCGTACTGATAAGGACCCATTGCATAGAACATACGACACACATTTTCTTTCCTGTTTGAATGGATTCTGGAAGTATTGCATCAAAATATCGTTTTAAATTCGTTCTGAGTTTCATACCGCTCTGTCACGTGTGATGACAACCTGATATATTTCACACAGACAATGCTGGACAGCGTTCTGCAAGCTATACACGATGTGGATCAATAATCACGAAAATCTCAATATTGTCACTGCCAGTGGGCAGGTTGTTCCAATTAGCTGGATCATGGCATTAATTGATGTCACTGAAGTGCCTCTGACAGGAAGGTCCTAGGGTTCGAATACCGACGATGGCAGGAGTTTTGGCACTAGCTGGCAGTTGACGCTCTGGAAAACATAATCAATCCAGCAAGCAAGCAGGTTCTCCCATAGAGCGCATGTACCTGCCACAGACCAGTGCAGGATGCGCTGCGTGTCAGCCACGGACGCGATCTTAAAAATGCCACATGTCATTTGGATATGGCTTTTCCCACAACATATTCATTGATACAATTGTGATTATATCATCCTCGATCCCTAAACCCTAGAAGTTTATAACATTCACTCTCAACCGCTCTGATTATTCTCTGCGAAGTAATACTCGTAGGCGATTGATTTCTCCGGGCATGTTAGTTGCTGAAGTCATAATTATAGTACATTAATTTATCGCATCAGGTGGCGGTAATCTTCCTCCGCTGGATGGCAAGATCCGGCGCCGATATACTTCAGTAATCTCTCGCCAGCGGGGCACCGCCCCAACTGGAACAAGCTCTAAGCCCCGGACATGGGTAGTAGTGTGGTGCATGTAAGTATAAGTATGTATAAGTCAGACGTGAGGATGGGACAACGAAGAAAAAAAGGAAAGATCTCGTATGGTTCGTAGCTCGTTTTTTTGGCTTCGACAACTGCCAGCTGTTGATGGGAGAAACCAGGGAAAACTCCCGACCAGAACAGCCGGCCGCTGAAATTCTCCTCCAGATAGCGGCTGCATTTGACCTAGCTGTATGGCTAGCGTCGAAATTTCTGCCCCCGTAGGGGCTCTAACTCTAGGACCACCCTGCCAGCGGCACTGCAGTGACATGAATTGATGCGTTGAGCCCCCTAAGTCCAACAGGTAGTAGAAAAGTGTTCAGAGATATTTATGGACATATCGCTGCCTATTTTGCCTTGAATGGCCGTTCCTATCGGGCGCGGGCTTCGCAATGGGCGTGAGCTGGTCCACGCGCTCTTCGAAGCGCATTCCGCGCGCGAGGGCCGCGTTCCATTGTCGCCCCGCGCGCGCTCGCGCGTTCGCTTGAGAGCTATGCGGCGACGCGCGGCGGCCGCGCACCTCGTCCGTCTCCGCGAGTTACTGCTGTTCTCACCGCAACAGCGCCGATGTCACCCCACAAGTCCGCTGCGCAGCCTCCGCCTCCAGTGCTGTCGAGACAGCTGAATTTCAACGATTGTGTTAATGGATTTCAACATCGGAAAATTTTAACAATGCAATGCGTCAGTGATTCTATGTATTTATTTGGCTTTGAGGGACAATTAATCGGAATTTTTCGAACTAGCGGTGATAGCATTTCTGAGCTCTGTTTTTTTATTTACTATCCACGCCGGAAGGTAAAGAAATCACGTGGCGATCAACTCGGACTTCACATCCAGCTTACGTGCCTGACTGAGCTGTTTATTTCGTCAGAGCCATATAAACTGAAACAATTTATATTAGCTTCAACAACCCGGGACCACCTCACAGAAGTCTATCACGCTGTTGTTGGGTACGTCGATGATTGAATAAGAAAAATATTGTAAAGAACTCTTAAATACCTCATAGAGACATTGGATGTCATTTTGAATCGTGAAAGTGTTTTCCGTGAGACGTGCCTCCAAATCTTCTTAACAGTCATTTTGGTGTCATGTTGTGCCTTACCTCTCTATCATATCGAATGATGATAGCAGCAACCCGAAGGCTTTTTGCAGAGAACATAACCGGGACAGACTGCTCAGTGCATCAAATGATGTCACTACAGTGCCTCTGCCGAAAAGTCCTAGGTTTGAGTCCCGACCGTGGTAAAATTGTCGTCACTAGATTGTCAGCTAGGTCAAATTCAGTCACTGTCTGGAGGAGAATTCTAGCGGCCGGTTGCTCTGATCGGTAGTTTTCCTTGGTATCTCCGATCAACACCAGGCGAATGCCGGAGCAGTAGCCAAACAAACGGGCCACGGATCGCGCGCGAACATTCCTTTCTCTTCCTTGTTGTAACTTCATCCCTTACTTACACACTCTTCCACTAACATGCACTACACTACCTGACATGTCTGAACACCAGTCGGGAACTTGGAGCTAGCCTCGACTTGGGAGAAACTTCACTAGCCGACGGTAGGTCGGCGCCGGATCTTGCCATCCAGCCTGGGAATATCACAGCGACCTTCTATGAAAAATATGCACTACACTTACGGGGCTAATGACCTTAGTAGTTGACACGTCCAGAATCACTAACAACCAACCAACTTGCAGAGAGCATGAGCAATTGCATAGGTTTGTCATTAAACATTCAAGTTGTTGTTTTTTAAATTTATAGGTCAGGGTGATGTTTTGGGGAAGAAGTTCACCCTCTTCCGCCAGGTCACAGAACTGACTTCAGGTTCAAATGATAGATCTTAAAGAAATTAAAATAAAATGATTTAATAAAATTAACGAAATGGAATGTTGATCACAAAAGCGGAAAGCGCACAATGCGTAACTTAAGTGATAGGCACATTAATATACAACAAAAAATTGTCATATTTTCGCCGGTTAACAGGCACATCCGAGTTCATCTGTAATCTCTTGGAATCTTTTTTCACTGACGTGATGCGTTCCATAATGTATAGATTTTTTGGAATATGATCCCGCTCTTACCCTCGTCGATGGATGGAAAAAGTGATTTCGTCGCTGTCCTCGATGACATTACAAACCAAATCACACCTCATTGAACTAGAAGTGATACAACACCATATACTTTCTGCAATTATTTTTTTGGCTTTTGCAATTTTCGAAAACACAGAGTGTTCACCGGAAATGGCACCAGTATGGATTTGTATACCGGTACTTTATAAATACGAGAAGAAAATTTAAAATGCAAATTTGGAACCGTATTTGAGAAAATAGTTGTTTAAAAACTGCCTAAACTTCACTCGAAATTGTGCGAAAACTACTCATATTTTCGGAACATTGTTCATGATGATACTACAAGATCTGTCTTTGAAGAACAGATATAATTGAGGAATAAATATTTTTTGAATATTGTAGTAGTATTGTAGTATTGTAGGAAATAAACAAAAAAATAACTTTTGTAATAAAAAATAGGGATTCAACGAAAATGAAACCTGCACATTTCTTTTAGGTGTTCTTTGCGATATCTGAAGACACAGTTTAATAAAACAAATTGGAACCATATTTGAGAAAGTTTTGATAATATTCAGGCATTGTGTAAATCATTCGCCGTTTTCGTGCGCACGATAACAGTGCATTTTTTAACGAAGTAAGGGTGAGAAAGTAAACTAGTAGTGTTACACAAGCACATTCTTTCTCGTATTATTTCTAAATTTGCAATTTTCGAAAATTCAGAAAGTTCAACGAAAATGAGACATACGTCATTCTCTTAAGAGTTCCCTTTTCTCTTCGTGGAAACATTTGAAAAAAACATTGGAAGAAAATATTTGAAGCATTTTTTGAGAAAATGCTGTTTAATTAATTATATAAATTTCAAATAAAATTTTCCAAAATAATTGATTTTTCCAAAAAAATGTACATGGAATTTTTTAAATAGCCGATTTTTTGGAACAGATTTTGTTCGTTTCAAAAATATCTCGCTTCAATTTTGTAGTTTTGAAATGTTAAAATTTTGCGTTTTTCGAAAATACCGAATGACCACGAAAATGAGACTAGCACAGTTTTTACCTTCCTTTTCTACAAATGAAAAGAAAATTTAAAGAAGAAATTCTAGCCGTTTCTGAGATTTTTTAAAAACCATTAAAAATTGCCTATATTTCACGCAAAATTTGAATTAAAGTTTAAAGTTAAGAAAAACTAAAACATTGAAATTTCTCAAAAACTGCTGATATTTCGCAAACAAATATACATCATCTTATTTCAAGATCTGATTTTAATTAAGAGATTTCTTAAGAAAGAAAACTTTATTTTCAATATTGCAGTCGTGGGAAGACGCCGAAAAAGATTTGACTTTTACAATTTTTGAAAAATCAAGAATTTTAACGAAAATATGATCCACATCCTTTTCTTAAGTCTCTTTACGCTATCCGCGGACACAGTTTAATAAAACAAATGGGAGCTAAAAGAAATGAAAATGTTGAGGCTTTATATGAAGTATCCCCAAAATCAAAATATCCGTTTCAAACTCAGAGGACCAAGAGTTTATTTAAATCGACCAGAGAATATAATTTTTTAGGAAAATCGGCTGAACGGTTTAGGCGCATTATTGATCACGGACGGACGGACACATAGGCAGACGTTTTACCATTAATCGATATTTTGATATCAACAACTCACAAAACATTGATTATCATTACACAAGTGGTTGAGAAAGTGATTAACTAATATACGAACATGATTTATACCCTTTTTCGTTATCAAAGTTCAACAGAAAGAGTTTTTCTATCGAACATTCGCCGTTTTCTCGCGGATGATTGCAATACTCTTTCCTACGAAATACGTACGAGAAAGTAAGAAAAGTCAGTGATTGAAATGTTTGATTATAATTACATGTTGTGCATTACTTTTTAAACCAGAGCAGCGTTGATTTATCAGTGCTAACGAATATCCACGGTTCTCGTGTCATGCCAAGGAAAGTTTCAGTTCGCATCACTTTCCATCATTTAGAATACCTCATATCAAAATGTGTAATATATAGCACGTGAGGAATATCACAGACTCTCTAATGGCAAGAAAACTTCTTTTGCTTCTAAATGGGATCACACCTCGCCACTCTGCTCCATTGAACCACGCCGCATCGCGCCACGCCTCTGTTGAGAAAAAGCGATGTTTTTTTCATGATTCTCGGAAACTCTATTTCATTTTGCGCCGCGAGAGTAGAACCTGTGACTTCCATTTTCCGGTTCAACGGAGTGCGCGAGGTTTGTGAAATATGTAAAGAGGATCGGAAGCACCAGTCTTCAGAAAAAAAAACTAAGTTATAGATTGGTGCGACATGTTTGTGTGATGTTTTAGCTTGTGTCGCAACGTCATTGTGTCGATGGATGTACCGCAGGAATATTAAGTGCGTTCCTTTCTCCGAACGGGTTTCTGGAGAAAGGTTTTTCAGAGTGGATCACGTACAAGTTTGCAATCTCCTCCATACTAGGAAGTTTGTTAGAAATAAGTTTGAAAATTGTAAAGTGAGTTGAATTGCTTCTTGATCCGACACTATAGTAGTGAACTTGTAATTAGTAGTGTTATTAGTATCAAAAGTTTTATTCGTATATTTTTGTTT